AGCACCCCAAGGCATAAACTGATGCCTTTGGACTTTCAGCGTGCTTGTTTAGAAGCAATGAGAGATATGCCGAAGTGGGTATGTTCTAGAAAACCGAGAGTAGTTCAATAATGAACGATTTAATCTTTGAGTCTGCTGGAGACGTTTGAGCTCCTTTCAGGTTGCAAGTGATCATCGGGTTTTCGGATGACAGGTCCCCAGTGGTTGAGTGATTCACAAATCAATCTTAGCTTTCTCTGCGCTCAACTGTTTCATCTCACCTACCATTCGCGCAAGGTGTCTCTGTTTTTCGTCTTTTTCGGTGAGCCCGTCTGCAGGTCAAACGAATAGATACTGAGCTGAAAGTTGCACGCGATGCACGTGCCCACAATACAGCATTCTACGTTTGACTCGTGAGCCGGTGTTGTCCAACGTTTCGGCGTGGCACGTGCCGAAAAAGCCGTTTTTAGGCCCGTTAGATTTGCATTGTGAACGTCTGGAAATGTGACTTGCGGGAAATGGGAGCGCAGCCGATCGGCATCGTGGCCACATCGCGACAACAAACGGTCGGAGCGACTCAAAATTGGCACCGTTCGAAAGATAGCTGAGCGAGGTATCGTGTTGCGTCACACGTGTGATAGCACAAGTCAGGTGTTACGTACACGAAAACCATCAAGACAGATTTGAACGTTTGCGACAGTTTTTTACATTTTATGGTACAACTCGATGGGTATGATGGGCATGATGGGTATGGTTCAACTAGCTCTGTCCCACTGCATAACTTTTTAAGTAGAGCGTCGGAAATCGGACGTGCTGTGTGTGAGCCGGCGTCCAGAGGTAGTCTATTCAGCTTTTTTCATTCATTAGTGTAGGCAAAACAGGTGTCACATAGTGAGAACAAAAATGCATTTCTCTGCGAGAAAAAACTGCGCACATCGACTTCTTAATGGGTGGCGAAATGTTTATAAATATTTCATACAATCCAATTCGGAGTTGCAACAGAATGCGACAGAAACGTCGTAAAAACGATGATGGCAGGAAGGAGGAAGTCAATGCGACCCCTTCCCTGCCGTTTCCAAGCTAAGAAAGGCAGGGCCTTGTGGAAAAGCAGCACTGAATATGTCCAAAAAATCTTACAATTATCAATAAGCAACATGCTGCCAAGTCCATATCGACCCTTCACAGAAAGACCAGGGCTTAAATGCTCTTCAAAATAACAATTTTTGAACATAACCTTATTTTTTTAACTTAAAACACCCTTATGTATGAAATCATGCCCCATAGAGAGACGATAGCAAAGCATGCATAATTAATGCCCCGAAAGATGCCGAAAGTTTGCGTGCAATTGTACGACATGCCGGAGAGGCATACTCCGAAAACCTTAGTGGGGCCGTGTGCCAAACCGATCGTTGTCTGGAAGCGCTGGGTGTTGCGCGCGGTCTGCCGGCCTCGGACCTCAAGCGTATCCACGAGACCCTTGTGAACTCAAAATCAGGTCAGCAGCTGCTGCAGACGCGCCTCCCGGTCAGATCCCTACCGATTCTCCTAAAATGCAGGGGCTGATGCAACCATGATATGGCAAATTAACAGCCTGGCTCCGCACCGGAGACTGGTTGGTACCAGTTGAAGTCATGGGAACGAAACTACTGACTTCCTGACTAGCAAAGGGGTAGCTATTTGTTATTTATTATACCTGGCCCCTTATTTATTTACCAAGTTAGTTGTCACGTATGCTTTTTGGTGCGTGAAGCGAATCTTAGCCGAACAAAATTGCGAAAAACACACCTGTGGAGAGCATTGGAAAGACACTGTGACACTATTGATCTGTAAAGTCAACAAATATGTAGTATAGTCTGTGGTGTCTTTCTGTCACCTGTTAAAAGCTATCCTGACTAAAGATATTATGTTTCAAAGTGATGTGTGGCTCAGTTTCGCCAGGGCAAGAGCAAGAGTATGAGCAAATTCTTGCTCATACAGCAAAACGTCAATGATTCGGCAGACGCTCTGCACTAGCTCACGCTGTAAGCATTAGCGGACACAGACAAACACTAAGCTTTGAGTTTGGTCCGACTAGGATGGTCTGTTGTAATTTGTTCCAGTTTTGCAATAACTTTTCACCGATAAGCCCGCGAAAGTGTTCACTTTTGTCACCGATCATAGCCGGTGAATCATAATATTTGTCACCGCCTGTCCAGCGTCACGTACAGGCGGATCAGCGGGTGGCTGAACGCTGGAATTTGAACACGACGCGAGCGTGCAGGAGGCGGCTTTCAACGGGTAAACCGCGAGCCGCTACAGTCCAGGGTTCGGACACGCGACAAAAGGGTTGTTTTGGGCCCATCAGTTTTGCACGGGCGGCCCAAAAATGTGACCGACGACAAAGCCGACGAGGAGCCGTTCGAAGCCGCGGCCACATATCGGCAACCAGAGGCCGGAGCAACAAGGACTTGACACGCTTGGGTGTCAAGTTCTTGTTTCGAACAATTGAACGGGGAATCATGTGGTGCCAGATGCCGAGAAGCACGTGCCACTTGTCACGTACACAGACGTGTCAAGGATAGATGTGCAGTTTTGTAAGTTTTCACGTTTTATATCACAGCTCATCAGCCAGAGCGGGAAGAGACGCGAATCCAATTTCAGAGCGTTGACGAAAGTACCGTCTGCAATTTATGTGACCAACACGAGTTTGGACGTAGTACGAAGGCACTGAAAATCCGCGGGAAACCCGGAGATGTCGGCATTTTGAAGAAAAAAAACACCACCCCCCTATGTCTTTGGTGGTCAGCACACCACAACCGTTTCCTCCCAGGCATCCCGGCAGCCTGAGATCGGGTCAACCAGGGAACATCATGAAAGGAAATGCATCCCCAAATCATGCAAACACAACTCGTCCATGGAAGCTCCGTCGCTTAGCAAAACAAGCCTGCTAGCACTAGTGTAATCCAATGCCCTAATTTCTTGCCACGTGAATCGTTCGATTACAACATTCTGAAAGGTCGGGGAGTTGAAAATGGGGAGATCAGCGACGTGTTCGTGGCATGTGTTAACGTGATCGCCTTGCCTACCGGTTTCTGAACGGGTAAGTTGTTACATGGCAGGCGTCTTTAGAATTCAAGGTAAGGTGCGTAGAAACAGGTCAAAAGTTTATCAAGTTGCACCACGGGACCACCAAACCGCACTTTTCTTTGTTTGATTAATGGCATGTGTCATCAGTGACTTTACGGTTATTCAGAGCAAAGCACCTGCTAACCGAACGCTAAAAATAAACTCAGAATGATGCCAGTAGTACCTTCACGGTGAAGCACTTTCCAGCAGGACAGCGCGGATGGTAAACATCACAAACACTTTCCAGCAGGACAGCGCAGAGGCAAACATCACGAGTTTTATAGATAGATATTATAAGCGTAAGATTATTCGACGGTAAACTGCAACCGCCGTGCGGAGAGAGGGAGCTAAATTATTATTTCCGTTTTCCGGAGACACTGTCCGAACCACTCCAGTCATGCCCGCCAAACTTCCATCTTCCACAATCAATCACTTTGACGCGCACTGCAAGGTAAGCAATTTGTGTTTGTGTCCACATTGAATTATGACGTAACAAGTAAATATCTGCAAGGTCGTTTTTACCCGACATGTTATCATCCGCAATTTTCCTTTCCTGCTGTGGATTATGTCAGTGTAAGTCATCGACTGCATATTTTGGTCACCAGCCAATGCCAATCAGGCTGTACGATGTCACATAAACATACCAACACAAATCAGGTCAGGCCAGCTAATAATTCGTCATGCCTAAGTTATTTATAACGCCCATTTGTGAGAAACACCTCAGTTTTACCCCAAAAATTCGAAACCAATGGCTTCTACAATTTAAAAAACAACACGTTAAGAGTCTGAAGCGCTAGTGTGATTTTTTTTTTGTTTTTATGAATATAAAGCCATTGGACCACTTTTGTTGGTGCTGAAAATGATTGAACCTGGTCCTCAATTTTGGCATTCATGTATTTTTGCAGTATTCTGCAGTTAAACTTTTACGCATTGTTTAATGTGTGTTGAGCGATGATTGCCGTCCGGTGACTTCACAAATTTAACTTAAGGATTTCTGGTTGCGTAATGCTCGCATATTTGCCATCGTGAGATTCGATACTGAGATGCCATAACGAACTAGACCAGCTCCCAAGTCAGTTGCTGATGGTGAAGTACCCCGAACAAGTTCGTAGTAATACCAAACTGGTTCACCTCAAACCATGAAAATAAATTGCAGACTTCGCTCCGAAAGTTTTTAGTTGAGTTTGAGTCATGTTTTATGTTCCGAGCAGGCACTTGGTGGCGTAGAAATGTCAGTTAAGCAAGAATTACTTCTAGCTTTAATCTCATCTTTAGTAACCGGCTCAAACGCATAACTTAGCGGCACCTTTGTTGCAGTTCGGCTTACATAAGGTATTCAAACGTTTGTTGCACTTCGGTTTAGTGTGACATCAAACCATTTGTTGCACTTAAGCTTAAGTGAGGTATACATACATTCCTCGCAATTCGGCTTACTTGAGATGTTCAAACTTTTGCCGCACTTCGGCCTACTTGAGATGTTCAAACCGTTATTGCGCTTTGGGTTGCGTGAGGTGTCCAAAACTTTGTTGCACTGCGGCAAACGTGGGATATCCAAACCTTTGTTTCAATTCGGCCTACGTGAGATATTCAAACCTTTGTTGCCGCTTGGCTTACGTGAGATACACAAATGCTTTAGCTGAAAGGCCGACCACGTCTCTGAGTCATCAAATCTAATCTGAGGGGTCTAAACTAAATGACAAAATGCGACCATTGCTCCCAACACCCGGCAGATTTCGAACATGTTACATTGTCGCCGTGCGATGCATTTCTATCCTTTTACACCGTCCCAGTGTGCGGCATGCCACCAACGATCATGTCCTTTGAGCTTACCGAAGCAGCAGAAGAGACAGGCGACGACGGCCAGCAGGCCAACGGGCCTGGTGAGCGGTGACATGGCGGCGCCCTCTGTGTGACTCGCCTGTGCCCAGTCGGAGCTGACAGTGTCGGCGACGTGTCCACACTGTCCATGTTGTCCGGGCGCCGCTGGCAACGGCATGTGATGACTTATTCAGGTACAGCGATCAGTGACGGCTCCCACGGAGACCTGTCCGCCACCTGACGATTCCCACGGTCGAAGGCGGCTTTTTAGAGCCACGGCGCTGAGTACATGAGGAGGAGAGCTGGTTTGCTTGCGACTCGTGTTGGCAGGTGCGTGATCTGTGATTTAGGCCGCTAAACTCAGGGTGATATTGGTCATTTATTCGGCACGAAGTCCCTTACTTACTCAGAGAACGGTATAGCACCATGTGCCGAAGACTTAGGAGTCAATTAGGATAGCCTCAATGCAAAATCTGTTTGCAATCCCATTTCCTGGAGAGTCATTCTTTCGCAGAAAGGCATTCTTCAAAGCTCGAAATGTTGTGAGAATTTTGCATCTGGTACATTTCAAGCTTGCTTCGCCAGCCACCGCCGGACCAGAGGCTTCAGAGCCCCATTGAGGACTAATAGGTACGACCTTTGAACCGTCCAATCCACCATGCTGCAATGCTTTGTGACTGAATCTGCAACCCTCTTAAAGTCGATGCATTTCAAATTTGAAGATCTTGCAAGACATATCTCAAGTGTTGACGTCTTGTAAAAGTCCTGTTGGTGCATTTGGCGTTCAGACATCAGACAACGTACACCTGTGGCACAAAACGCATTCCTAAAGATTTCTGGCATGTAACCGTTTTCTCGTATGTTTGATTAGAAGGAGTTTCCATACAATGCAGACGAATTGGGTCATCGAACGTGATACGAGGTCAAATGCGGCGAACGAAGGAATCTTGCGGGAATGTTTTTTTCCTTTTGCGATTAAGATTGACATGTCTCTGATCACATTATGTGATATTCTATCTACTGAGGCAAGTGATACCCAACGTCATGTGTTTTTTTTATCATATTCTGGGTTAGTTTTTGAGATAACAAAGGTTTGTCGAAGAAAAAAGGCTTGAAATGCATAAAATAAGTTTACTTGTCTTGGTCCACACTCACTGACAGAACAGCAGTGGTATGCGAAAGCGTGTCAGGGGCTGAACCATATTCACCGTCATCATTTCATCGATACCAAATAACTTTCCTTACAGTCATGTTGCACACAGTTCAAAATGTGTAAATTAGGAATTCATTTGCTACCGTTAAAGTTACGGTGACCTGTCCTAAATAATGCAGAAGTAAGCTTCAAGACATATCGGTTTGATGTACTAATGCCTAATTTTCTTTCAGGTTTGGAAAGACGGACGGAATTTAGGACGGCCCACGTTGACGATGAGGTCAATGGCAACTTTACCCAGGATTCCATGAACCATCAAATACTGCACCAGCTGGGGGCCCAGGACGCCGTCGCAGCAGCTCTCGTGACAAAAGGAAGGATGGACACTGGGCGATAGTTACCACGGTTGGTTTGTGACAATAGGGGGGATTGACACTGGGCGATAGTTACCACGGTTGGTTTGTGACAATAGGGGGGATTGACACTGGGCGATAGTTACCACAGTTGGTTTCACGCCCAAATCGCACGACGAGGACCACGGTTGGGATTTTTATTCACATCGGGAAACGTCGGATGCGATGAAGGCGTACACTTTGAACAAGTGGGGATAATTTCATCGCGGCATGCTGATAGTTATTCCTCGTGCGCATGTACACGAGCCTGTCCTTGCTCCACGCCAACTATGCCCGCGAGCCTGGTCATGCTCCAAGTCACCATGTCCACGAGGATGTTCTTGATCCACGCCACTCACGTCCTCAAGTCCGTCCTTGCTCCACGCCACCTATGTCCACGAGCCCTCAGCGACGACATACTGCGGCATGGGGCCCCACCAGACGACCAGGGACCATCGCTCAAGGCTCGAGCACCCCTATAAATGGTGTCCGCGGGGTGCAGGATGAGGCCTTAATGAAAAAAGAAGGTTGAATAACTCAATTCTCCTTTGCTGTTTACATCATTCCGTTCGGTAACATGAGCTTGGCTGGTCCCGGTACATGGGTCGGAGTCATGCTAAGCACGCGTCACGTGACGCAGTCTCACCGAAAAGTGCAGTTAGCTTTTCCAGTTTAGCCAAAATTATGGGCTCTGCATGAACTACACTTTAGTAGCAGCGTATGTTCGTCAAGGGCGGACGACCAAACTGAACATCAAGCTACCCATTTGTTAGCCCCTTCGTCCAACCCGTGCACAGCGGTCCCGTCCACCAAGGGGCGTGTCAACCGCAGCCGACAGCGCAGCCGGTACGAAGCTCTTGGTGGACAGGGCGGTCCCTGCCGCTGGGTGCAGACGCTCGCGCCGCGGCGCTGCCTCGGCAATGACCGGGTGAAGGTCACTCCAGGCGAAGGCCTTCACGTGGCGCCGTCAGTAGAGCGGACGATGGCGTTGTGTAGCAGACCGGCCACCCACTGTCTGCGGCAGGCTGCAGCCGTCCAGGGATGTCGGCCGTGTAGTGGTTAAGCTGCATGTCTGGCAAACGGAGGTACGTTGTTCGTCCTGCCAGGGTGGGAGGCAGGTGGCGCCACATAGCCTCAGTAACTGAGTGCGTTGCAAATGCCCCAAAGATACGCTTGAATTTTGCAGACTGCAGATATTCAGGGCATAACTCATCGAGACACCGCGATCAGTGTTCAAACTTCGACCCAAGCAGAACCGCTACAAGGCGGCCCTCATGGCCGAAGTCGGTTTTTTAAAGGCCTGGCGCTGGTTGCATTCCAAGTAGCAAACATTCCAAGCTGGTTCCAAGAAGGCCGGGTGCGTTTTCATCTCCTCTACATTTTACTGCTCCACTCCCTTCCAGCCGACTTAGATGTCCCCGGTGTCTCCTTCAAATCTTGTTTTCCAAAGGCACGTGACAACGTGCGTCGCGTCCCTTTTATGAAACGCCAGCGACTGCGTTGGCCATATTGGCGCGCAGGGGCCATGACTCAACCGGGATTTGAATTTGCTTAGAAACTCAAGATATGGGTTCAGCACACCTGACACTATTGAATCCTTCACACAGCTTCGCTCCACGCCTACTCTTTCACTGTATTTTACACTTCATAAGTCCTCGTTTACATTCAGTGATATCCGTTCATTTCTCTCAAACTTGCTTGGCTGCAACATTTGCCTCCGCTTGCTGGCGCCACTTTTTCCCACCCCCACCTCACCGTCGCTCCCATTTCTCACGCGCGCGCGGTTTCAAGGCGGCGTCCGAACTCAATACCATTGCGCGGCGCACACCACCTCCAGAGGAAAAGTACGGACGGCCTGAATGACCTCCAGCCACTTTAACGGCCCACGTGGCTGCAGACGTGATGAGATGCGCCGCCGTCGATGACATCCTTAGTGAAAATGCAATTACTTCAGTCGCACGTGACGACTTCTGTCTGCCGTCACAAGATCGACAGAATTTCACTGTGAAGATCGATAGGATCGAGCGCTTATGCATCACGTATCCGGCCTTAGATCCAATTCAAAATGCGCTCCTCCGACATTCCAGTATATTGGCACACGGATAGTACTTCAACATCTTGACTGGCTGAAAGGTTCAGCCCTAAACACAGCCTCGTGCTACACCTTGAAACTATTGTGAATCACACACATCCAGCCGTGACGTCAGGGTATCCCATTTTACATGCCACTGGCCACTGCCAACTGGGTGTACTCGTGCGCGTCCAGAGTTCATTCAACGCGCGGAGCGACATGCGACATGCAATCAGTACTTTGTGGTATTCACCCAACGAACAATGCAGAGGGCATCACAGCGCGCGGCCAACAACAGTAACGAAGCGCGTGTTGGCTTGATGTACAGGCGATTTTCACGTGGCGTGTCGGCCTGTCAAACGGCAGACAGTCTCGCTGATAAATGGTGCCTATTTTGGAGCTGGCCGGCTTGCTGCAATATTGTGAGCCCACTAATAAAAGCCCGGCGATCTCTCCTCTAGCCGGAACGTTTCGCAACAGCGCGATCGATGAACAGAGTGCAGTGGAATTCGTTACATATGTGGACCCGGGCAGCCCTGTCCCAACCGCCAAGTGAGCAAGTGCCGTCAGCGAAGATTAGATATACCCATTCACAAGTTTCGGCAACTGCCGGAATACTCGCGTGTCGGTGACATCAAGTGTACATCGCAGATTGGGCGGAATTCGGCCTAGTCCATGTCGCCACGGAAGTCTCGCCTGATGCATTCACAACAACTGCGACCCAACTCGCTAGGCAAGGCAGCTCAGTCTGGCGGAAAACGTATTTGCGTTCTTTTCATTGGCTTGGAGGCTGAGAACGGAGGAGGATGCACGAATATCCCATCGCAAGTCGACTAGAATGTTGAACCATCCACTTCTGCACAACACATCCATTAAACGATGAGCAGTTTTACACACACCCGGCCTGCCTTAGCTTGTCTTTTCGCGGGGACTCCTGATATGATGAGCGCCTTTTCACACGGCTAACAAACAGCATTTCCCGAAATTCTGCCCACGTTAGGCCCGTAGACAAAATGACCACGACTTGCTCGCATTATTAGCTTGATGGTAGGGATATCGTTGCGGGAGAATTGACGTTATCGAAGGAAGTGACACAAGTAAGTAATACAACCGTCATATGGGTCCGTCAGAGCGCCTGACGGCCGATTTTCCTAGAAACACAGAAGAAATCAGACAGCCTGAACTGAACAGAAGCTGCGAAATGAAGTATTGGCGAATGGCCATCATGCCATGGACCAGTTGACCATGCATGACCATCATGCCATTGACCAGCTGACCATACATGACCATTACAATTATGTCGGCGATAATGCAACTTGGTGCTCACTCAGATAAAAGCAAAGCCACACGGCAGCGGGCAAACAGCAGTTCGGGCGTCAGGAACATAGCAACACGGGAGCAAAAATATGGCGTATGCGAACACGCCAAGAATGAATATAAAGCACATAGACCGTCTTCCTATGCCATTGATTCGACGGTTTCGCACACGGCGACAGAACAAACCGACAGTCAACTGTAACATCGAATAGATGTGCCGCATTTTGTAACAGCATGGCGCCACCCTTTTGGTCGGCGGACAGCAGGGCAGCCCGTGTCAAGTTCAGCACGGTTCACCTCCGGCTCGGTAACGAGCGCGGCCCGGGCGGCTCGGCAGCGCCCTACCCGGCTGAAGTAAGCTCCTCGGAGATCACCGTCTCCGGTGGCAGCGACGACACGCCAGAGGTGGACGGCTGCTCGCTGGCCGCGTCGGCCAGCGCTCGCCGCTCGCAGAAGCACACCGATATATTGATAGGGTGCAGAAGGGAGAGCGGCTCGGCGGAGAGCAGCTCAGCCTGCGGCCCCAGCGCCGCCAGCTCCACCGTCATCGGCAGGTACAGCGAGCCCTTGCTGTGCAGTGCGAACACGGGCACCAGCTGCGAGGGCTGTGAGCGGCGGCGCGTCCGCTCGGCGCCGCTGCCCAGCAACGTCGGCTTCCACTTGTCTGCTTCGACGGCGGCCGGAGGCACGCTCTGGCGGCAGCGCTTCGAGCCAAAGCCGTCGGCCATGTCGGCCGAAAAGCGCTTCTTCATGTTGGTCTTGAACTTGTACATGAAGCCGCCGCACTCCTCCGAACTGCGGCTGCTGCTGCTGCTAGGCGGGTGAGCCCGCTTCACCTCGCCTGCCACCTGGCGGCAGGAAACACAAGCTTGTGCACGACATTCGACCTCGCGGAGGCGGACGGCGCGACGCGTTTAAGCCCAGCCAAAACAGCATGCATGCGCTACCTACAACAGTGCGATGCTCCTTGCTTAGTGTCGCGTACGATGTGCATGATTTGCGCGAACTTGATTCGAACCTTGACTCGTTTCATTATTGCATAGCTCGATTGCACCAAGGGATGCGGCTTAAGATACACTGATGATGTTGTTGCCATTGGCGTTTTAAGGTGCACTCAGCCGCTAATTCTGTCAGGCGTTACTTGCGTCTTACCATGCTAGGAAGGGTGGACACTGCAGGTTACCGAACCCAAAACCCGAACGTCAGCAGAACAAAACCGAACCCTCTCGCTTCCTAGACGCGCATGTGAACCATAATCTTGCATGCACGGAATGGCATTGGCACGCCAATTCTGGTATGCGAGCGTAAGATAATACACTTTGCTGAAATTACCGAGCGCAATGTGCATGCATCGAAGTCGACTTCCGTTTAATTGCCGTGGCATCAGTTTATTGCTTTTGAGACAAATGCAAAACTTCTATCAAGATCAAAATTGCATGCCATCATCATTTTGCGACAAGTATTTCCTGCGTTCAGACTGGATCATCATAACGGGTTGATGCCGGATATCAACCCGTCACGGATTAGGAGCAAGACGCTAATCTCATGGTCAAGCAAAATCGGGACAACCAGCACGTAAGAAAGGACGGAGCAACAGCAGAGTAAATGACATTGACAGTTCTACATCGCAGCATCGAGAAATAGTACAGAATCAACCAAGATTTGCTACGACTTTGGTAGCTTGGAAGTTATAAAATCGCTGTTGATTGATGTTTCGGCCGCATGCCTTCCCCAAAACCTTTATCGTTCCACGACCTGACGAGAATTGATGTGAAACATGCCTTCAGACCTGTGCCATTAAAAACAACAGTGAGCCAATTTCATCGCCATCATTTTGGAGCGTTAGACAACGATCACCAGCAAGGATTTTAAATGCTGGCCCTGCGGTACAGAACCTGCCGATACATATACACGGATTCACACGATACGAATACAACTACTGGAAATACGCGCACATGCGCCTTTTTCACCACACGCCACGCCTCGTCACTCATCAAGCCTGCTTAATCAGCCGTGCGGAGCTCGACACATGTAAGTCTAGTCATCATCTGATCACCAGAAACATACCGACGACCGTCCGTCGCGATGACTAGTGCCTCGCATATTATTCTAGTCAGAGAGACACATGACTGCCTGGGCTCCGGGCGGCACGTTCGGTCAAAATCAGAGTCGTCTCCGAATGGGCCTTCCTTGTTTGGTTGTTACCATCACGCTCTCATTAAATCTCGGGCAAATGGGAGTCATGAACTCTTCGACACAGCTGACGTTGCTTCCATTTTGGTCGCACAGTTCACGCTACATTTTTATGACCCACAGTTTGCGATAAATAGTCCATTTGAAATCCCGATTTGCAAGAGTGACGTTCATGTCTTCCGTCATTGATCATTGATCTTGACGCTTCGATAAGGGATATTTCACCAAAGCCGTTTTGAGCTCGATGTCATTCTTCCATACCACGCCTGAGCACATTTTCAGTTTTCAATGGTATGTTTAGCCTCCCAAACTAATCGTTTGTCCAAGTGAGGTACTGTTAAGAGGCTGCGCAGTAACCTGGGGCGGCTGTGCCGCCAGTGCCCGTGTCTGCCGGCGTCGCGACGGAGCCGACTTCGACCAGAGCCGCGCTGGAGCTGCACGGCGCGCGCGTCATCGGAGAACGAGGCGATGTCGGGCCGCACGGCCACAACGGCTGCGGTGCTCCCACACGGAGAGGGACACCGACTGTCGCCCGTTGCCCGCCGCCCTTAGGCCATCACCGGCTTCTCGGGTGCCGCCGCGCTGTGTCGCGCCTCGGCCCCGGACCCTCTGAGTGCCGGCCCACCTGGCGATCGGTCAGAGCCTGCAATCAGCCGCACCTCCCGCGCCAGTTCTGCCAGGCCGGCCGGCCCGCCGGGCGATCGGTCAGAGCCTGCAGTCAGCCACACCTCCCGCACCAGTTCTGCCAGGCCGGCCGGCCCACCTGGCGATCGGTCAGAGCCTGCAGTCAGCCACACACCCCGCGCCAGCTCTGCCAGGCCGGCCGGCCCACCTGGCGATCGGTCAGAGCCTGCAGTCAGCCACACCTCCCGCGCCAGTTCTGCCAGGCCGGCCGGCCCGCCGGGCGATCGGTCAGAGCCTGCAGTCAGCCACACCTCCCGCACCAGTTCTGCCAGGCCGGCCGGCCCACCTGGCGATCGGTCAGAGCCTGCAGTCAGCCACACACCCCGCGCCAGTTCTGCCAGGCCAGCCGGCACACTGACGGTCGGCCACGCCAACGTCCAGTCGTTAGTCCCGAAGATCGACTGCGTTCTTCGGACCGTACGCGACCATGACCTGGGCGCCATGTGCATTACCGAGACGTGGCTCACTGGCCCCGTGATCCCGTCAAGGACGGAATCTTGGTGTTTCCCGGCCACAGGCTGGTGCGCAAGGACCGGCCGACCCGGCGCTGCCGGGGTCGCCCTGCGGCCGCGAACCGCAGTGTTGGTGCTGTTATCTTGTGCCAGGAGCACTTCAACTGCAGCGTTACCAATCTCCGGCGCCGGCGCAGTATACGAGTCGCCGTGGATGTCGATGAGTGGCGGTGGGCAGCTCTCGGCCACGTTGGTGGGCAGCTCTCGGCAGCTCTCGGCCGGCGTTGTCTACAGTCCTCCGTCTCAGCCGACATCAGGCGGCCTTGACGAGATACATGATCAACTAAGAACGGCTGTCACCATCGGCAAACGTGTTTTTTGTTGTCTCGGCGATTTAACATTAACGCGCCCCGACAAGCCGTCTGTGCGTCGTTGCATGTCCATTTTAAACGATCTGAGCCTTGTGCAGCTTATTAACACACCAACCCATTCTAAGCCGACCGCGACTCTCCTAGACCACGAAATTACCAACATGCCCAAACTAGAGGACACAGCTCTGGTGTCGCTGCCGCTGATTACGGACCATCTCACCACCATCATTCGTGCCCCGTTCAGGCGGCAGCATTTACGTCCTGTTTCTTTTCTTATTCTACTACTGGCGCGAAGTCTGCTGGGACGAGCTCAGTCTGCATTTACTGCAGGTGGACTGGGACCCGTTGTACCGGGCCGTGGGTGCGGCGGGAAAGCTGGAGGAGTTCATGTGCGTATGGCCAGGTGCCATTGATATGCACCGTACCCTGAAAACAGTGACACCCGGCCGTCCACGCTGCTCCTGGACTGAGACAATCCCATTCTGCTGTGTGTGATGCGGGATTGCTACCACGCTTGCCGGTCATGACGCAGGTCCGCTATACAGACCGACCGCATTGAATATCGGCGTCTGTGAAACCGGGTTAAAGTTTGCTGCACTCAGACCAAGCGTGACTTTCCATGCGCCAGCATGTGAACCGACGGGCCTAAGACCGGGCTAATTTCTGGCGGACTACCCATAAATCTAGACATAGACCCTCTAGGGGAGGGGGGAGGAGGTGCGCCGAGGAGGCAATGCCCGCTGGCATAGCCGACGATTTCAATCGTCACTTCATCTCAGCTGGCTCAAAAATCGCGGTTGAGCTAGCGGCGAGCAGTCGGGGCGTCCACCTCCCCCTCCAAGACCACCGTGCGTAACCATAGCAAGGCTAGCTTTACACCCTGTGACCTACCCGAGCTTGCGAAATCTATGCGTGCAGTGTCTTCATCTAGGGCCGGTTGGAGCCGATGGTGCGCCGCTGCTTGCGCTAAGAACTTTTCGCTGTCATGGGGCCTCAAGTGCCTCATCTAGCCAATACTTCCATCGTCATCCGCGTCTTACCCTGTGCGTGGAAGTTAGATTCAGTTCTTTCCATCCAAAAGTCCGGTGTTTGTGACGCTGCAAGCAATTTTAGACCTAAATCATTTTGATCAGTATCGTCAAAAATATGAGAAAAGATTGTCTGTCAGCAGTTGTCCGCATGTCTTGATGCCCACGGCATCTTAACCCCTTCACAGCTTCATATATATGCATATATATACATACGTACATATATATATATACATGTATATATATATATATATATATATATATATATATATATATATATATATATATATATGTCGGACATGTCGTCGCCGTCACCTCCACAAACTTAAGTCGAGTTTTCGACAGCGTTGACCACTGCGTCCTCCCGACCAAGCTGCAAGCCTACAGCATCGATTCGCGATGGTTTACAAATTATTTTGATAAACCACGGCAGGTGGTGATAGGTGGTTCACTATCCATTCCCTTATCCCACGGTGTCCCTCAGGAGTTCCTGGTGGGCCCAGTCCTCTTCAGCATCTTTGCGAACGACCTTCCATCCTGCCTGCCTTACAGGCGTCTGGTTTCCTACGTCGACGATATCCATCTCCTCGACTCCGCCCACCCAGACCACTTGTCCACCCTAAAATCGCGTCAGAAGGAAACCATCCTTGCCCTCCAATCCTGCTTCACTGCCAACGCCCCGAAGATGAACCATACCAAGTCCACTCTTTCCTTGTTCGCACGCCCCAGGTCATCATAAATCATCCTTCCATGTTAACATCTCCCACTTAATGTTAACCCCTCGTCGTGCGTGAAGATGCTGCGAGTGACTATAGATCGCACCCTTTCCTGGGAAGAGCACATAAGCAAATTAGTTAAAAAGTGGAACTCCATCCCGTTTTATCAATATAAAATTTGTCATCATCTCAGACCCGAAGCTCGCAAGCTCCTCTTCCAGGCCCACGTTTTCCCCCCACATCCTGGACTGCCTCTCAGTCTGGGGCGGGGTCGCCGCCTGCTATCTCGGCCGGGTGCCAAAAATCGTGAATGTCGCGGTCAGGATCGTCTTTGGGACGCGGGGTCAAGATCATATTTAATCGGTGGTAGGATCGCTGATGTGGCGCAGAATCAGTAATCTTGTCGCGCGCCACGACCACATTGGCGTCTTCAGGGCCCTAATTGATCTCCGTGTCCCGATGCGCATCACGTGGTCGGCGGTGGCCGGCGCCCCTGAACTGCCGCCTTCCGACTGCCTGTATCGCGCAGGGTGTTCTCATATCGTGCGGCATCGTCCTGGAACCAGCTGCCGCCGGCCGTTGTGGTCTCCCGGAGGCGTGCTGCGCTCAGATCTAAACTTGACCAATGTGAAAAAGAGGGTTTTGTTTGACTTTTTGGGCCTTTTTCAAGCTCTCGACGTGTTTTTATCACCACCGTGTCTGAGTTTCTATCGTGTTACTTGTAACCCATTGCCTCGAATAAAGCATTAAATCATGCGTATTGAACGATTCGCAATAAATACATGACGTGACATGTCATCCGATATTTTTTTCGGTTTCAGCTGCCTCTTCCCCCACCTCCACTAGATTTCCGTAGCTCTTCCAACGATCTCCCGAAATGTTGTGGAGAGTAACCATTTCAACATAGCAAAGCCCCTCTTTTGGTCACGCTCTCGAATTTTTTACTATGACTGGATAGTTGTTCAAAACCCTATGTAACATATTTACAATAGTGTCGTGCTTAGTAAAGATGGAGATCTCATATCTACAGTGCAAATTTGGAGGATTACGTATTTGATGTACTTGGTAAAGAGCTCCGTTCCAAACGTTGTACCGTTGTTATATGTAATTGCACATAGGTAGTAAATTGTAAATAATGCAATAGCAAATAAGTCACTGTGCAATTTTTGTGAAATTGTAATTGTTCATCACTTCTCCCATCACCGGTGTGGCCAAATGGTGTGATGCCCCTTTTCATCCCCAATATGACCCACAATGAAAGCTACGTTTGGGTTCTGTCGGTTGATAAACTCTAAACACTTATCAACCCCTACGCTCTAATCACTTATCAACCTCCGTGTGTTACTAGGGAATCATCGAATTACCCCACTTGGAAAACTGGTTTGGACGGGCGGACAAGCAGACCCTCCGTTTTAAACCGGTCTAAAAGCATTTTCAAGAAAGGAGGCACACATAGGTTTTTGATTCCCCCTCACTATCTGCCAATATTGGTAATTTGCATACGGAAAAACGCTACCCCGGAAACGTTCAATGAGGCCGCAAAGGGCCTCTTTTGACGGGTCAAAAGTACATGAAAATGTTCGTCTCAATGTTGACGCGACAAATTCTAAAATATTTCTTTCAAATTCAAATGTAAAGTCGGAGCCAGAGTTACCTTTCAAATCTATTCCAGTAAATCCATTTCGCCATGCTGTTTTGACGAGGCTCCTGACCGGAAACTGTTGATACACTGCCATCTCTTTACGTTCTCCATGTACTGAGAGGAACAAAGCTTAGTTAAGTGCCCTTATAACTGACGGCATTGATTTGATTGGTGCCACGTTTTTGTACCAGTGTGATTGTGACTCATTCAGGAGTAGGTGGCGACCACTTTGCAGAAATTTTCAGCTTTACTGAATTACATACACCCGACCTCTGCATCCAGGTGCAGCACTCACGTAGCAGTCCAGAATCTGGCACGTTCAAAGAATGACATCGCTCATCCATAGCGCTCTTTAAACGACCCACACACCGATTGCGGTCTGGAGAAGGAACAAGACAAGAGTAAGAATACGACCAAGTGTCGCCATGAAGAGTTCGGGCAGACACTGGTCACACCCTGGGCTGTGAGCGAGACAACACACGGCTTAAATGGACACGGGAGACGTAAGCATGCAAAAACCCATTACGCCAGACCATGTTGAGAATACGAACAGAGTGTCCGTCACCTGCCGACGAAGTGTTCTGTGATCACTCACGTGCAGAAGTTTGTACAGGTGCGGCTCATCGAAGTCAGCGTCGGCGTCGTCGGCAGGGTACCGTGACATCGCGCCGGGACCGGCGCTTGGCTCCGGGTCGCCGCGCTCTAGCGGGAGCCGAACCAGCGCCTGCTGGTTCAGGTCTGAAGAGACGACAAAATCGCGGCCAGTTGACCGGTCCCCCCGACCGCCGACACTGCAGGCCGCCTAGCCTTGGAACATGCGTTCGCGTCCCTCCACCCATCACCACAGCGGGTGTTAGCCGTTATCCTAGTGAAGGTGTGAGTATGCACCTGCCTTTTTTATCACTGCTAGCATGGACGCAGCCCACATCTGTGAGCCGGCCGTGCGCAATTTGCATGATGGTGAACGGTCATATCAAACATCAGCCTTCTCACCGAGCCTCAGTTGCGGGTTTTGTATTAACATTTCCAAAACACCTAGGTCGCATGAATTATGTGTTCAGGTGGCTTTGATGTCAGAGCCTTCGCTAAGTGCAGCTTAAAGGGACTGTCCCGCTTCTGGGGCATAATACAAAAATGCCCTAATGAAACCTCAGGACCAGTTGCGCCTTATGATAGAACTGAGAAGTGCTTCTGCAGCCCGTCAGTACATAATGAGAATATCAACGTTAATTACTTTCGAGTCCAGATCGCGCTGCGAACGCTTTGTAAGAGCACTACGCTTCTTCCCCGCATTCGTGACCACTGTTGTCATGCCAACCGCCGCGCGAACCTCCACTGGTGCGAATAAGAATATCTTTGTGTTTGGCCCAGCGGGCGGCAAGAAGCCTGTTACCTAGAAGTGCACTGGTTAAAATTCGAACCAGTGCGTCGCCATGGACCATGTGCTACTCCCATTCCCGAAAGCCAAAGTGCACCTCGAAAAGAACCACTCTGGTTAGCATCATAGGGTAGAAATCGAAGCCACCGAATAACATTTCGTTACATACACGGAATAGCAGCTTAATGCGCACATGTCTTTTTGTCTAAACAGTGTTGCAAGGCTTGTAGCATCTAATGCACACACATTTCGAAAACAGATTAATGCGTTGCAAACATTACAGAGCACACACGTCGGAAAAAGCAGGTCAAGTGAAATGTATCGTTTTCATAGCGGTGAGCAGGCGGACAAGGGAGATTTCTCACGCAGGGCCGGCTACTGGAAATCGACATTCTGAGCTATTCAGGACGCTTACGAGACAACTGACATTTATGATAAAATCTTACTCATCCGATGTAGCGAAAAGTATCAAAAGGCGGAATAGCTCCCTTTAATGCATGACAGCTAACATTACCACCGAAGTGGCGATGTCCCATTGCCCGATGTTTAAGTGGGCCGAAATGCGGAATACTTTGTACAGCCTGCCAATTAAGTAATGTTGCCAGGGTTCAACGTGAGATGCAAGCTCGTGATGTGGCCGGCCATAATAAAAAATTCCCGTCCTTTTCACGGAAAAACGATGCCTTTGACGGGAATCGAACCCACCGGACCATGTCTCTCGAGCCATGTCCGTTGACCAACGGATGAGATAAGACCGTTGTGGTACCGCCATGTCACTGGGACTGCGTAATACAGTGGCCACAGTTATCATCAACCTGTCTGTAGCTGTGTTTTTGAGTGTTAAATCAAGCCGAAGAACACTAATCTTTGGACCAGCAACCCTTCCAGAACATGCCTATCATATCCGGTCCAATTTTTGACGGTGAGACTGAACCGTCTCGAGCTCAATATGCTTCTGAGAGACAATAAGGCAGTAGCCGTGACACTGCCGCTGCCCCTGTGGCCTGGTAGTGTGGGGAAGATCAGCGCAGACGGCGGGCGTGAAGAGCGACCGCAATCTGAGCCCCAGCGCCACAGCGAAAGCGCCCCAATGCGAGGCCGCTGGCGCGGTCAGCGCGCGAAGCCCCGACGCTCGGGTCGATGCCGTGACCGGTGCGCAGCGTCGCAGACTGAGACCCTGACCTGGTGGCGCGTAGCGCATCTCCCGCGGCGCCGACGAGCTGGGCCACTGCGTGCTGCCGCTGTTACCGTCGCTGGACGAGCCGTTGCTGCTGGCGTTCCCGTTGTAGCCGCTCGTGCTGCCACTGAGCGAGCCGACGCGAGAGCCGTGGTGCGGCCGCGGTGGAAAGCCGCCTGCGCGCAGGCGCCGAAGCCATGGTTAGCTCGCCCAACCGATCTCAGACAGCCAAGCTGCGAGTTCCACAAAAGGCGTCCGCAATAGACAATGTGTTATTGTGCCAACTTAGGCACCAGGCCCGTCCAAGGCCGGCTGGTTTTCGATGTGCCCTCGCTGACCTCTGAGCACGAGTGCGATGTGCTCGTGGAGGTGGTTCATGAGACGGGCGCAGAGGGGGTCGCCGGGTATGAAGCCCTCGTGCTCCACCATCCACTGCATCGTCTCGCGCAGACATTCGCGGTAGCCTTCCTCATAGCGGTTGGAGATGGTTGCGCGCCGGCTAGCCGTGTCGGTATCAACGCCATCTGTTGAAAAACAAGGTGACAATGACCAGCGAGCTGTCGAGAGCAGAGCGCGCGCCACCAACGACATGCCCTCCCCCGCTCTTAGGTGTCACACTGAAAACCGGCAGACCGGCACAAATGTTGGCCATGAAACAATCGCCAGACACCTCCAGAAGGATGTCAGGAAAAAGGGACATCGCTGCACTGAGCCCGTTCTGACGTGCACAAATAATGTCTGCCTGCTCAACACCCGAAAGCACGCGATCAGGAATTAAGATCGCTGTACCCAGATCCTCCGTACCCTCGTCCATAACTGCACATAAATATCCAGGTAAGATCGAGTACCGAGTCAGTCACGTCTCTCCCCACCGAGAGATTAGATTTGGTTTTAATTAGAGCCATTCCTACCAGTGAAGGCTATTTCAGGGCAATGGGATGAAAGAGAAAGGATAATGGTGCGGCAAAACTATATGCGCCTAGGGGTCCATCCACCCAGACTTGATCCGTATATACACCCTTACACGGTGTAGGTACTTGGCGCTCGGACAGTACCTCCACCAGGGGCACTTCAGCGCACTCGTGGCTGTACCACCCGTCTTGCCCCAGGCAAATGAGGCGTTACGAGAATGCAGGATAACTAAAGAGTGGAGAAAGAAGGGCGGATACACCAGGAAATACTGAGGAGAGCCAGGAAGCAATGAAGGCGCACAAGGGCCCCAGGACATCACGCATGCCGTTATTGAAAGGTGTTGATAGCTCACTTTCAGCAGCAGTGCAAATATTTGTTTCCGAGATAGCTGTTTCCGGTTAGAAGCGAACGCTAACTCAAACCGAACATGGCGACCGGCGGCCCACCAACGTCATTACTAAAAAACTCAGATACTCGAGGCCAAGCAAGGCTACTATCGTTGGCACCCCTGAAATCCACCGACTAGCCGAGCTTGTCATCAGAGTGTGGGAGACACCCGCGTGATCGTCATGATGGCGGCCATTTGTGAAGATCGTGTGCACTTGATAAGTAGACCATGCCACATATTACGTTCTCGTTTCCGACATCGTCAGTTTTCATGCTGAAATGGCCGACCTTCAACGCACCAAGAGCAAATGGACAACGAGAATACCAGAAGACACAAAGTCAACATATGGTGCGCGGTTCGGTGTGTGACGAGGCAGAGGTGGTGAAGTTTTGTGACAAAGGGGCGTGGCACACTGTTACTCTTTATGCTGTGTTTAATTACCGTGATAATGCCAAATGGGGCCGAACAATATTTGATGTGAAGCGTAACGTACGTCGTTAGTATTGTGATTCATAGTTATGACGTTATGATTTTCTATCTCGATACGATGATCATGATTGCATGCTGTGGGTACTTGCAAAGCCTCCCTGGGTATACAAACGCTGGGTGTTGTAAATGCCCCCAAGTTTCTATGTGACCTTAATCTGCTTATTGGTACCGCGATAGTTTTACGGCTGGGAAGAAAACGTCAAATAATCTTAGGGCATGTGCGGACCAGAAGTAAAATTATAAGAATCACAATCTTGTTGCATCGTGGCCTGGTCTCAGAAGGGTTATATCAGGCAACTTAAACGCTTGAGTGCATACATTGTTCAATGGAAATGCTCAATGTGACAAACAATTCGTTCGTTTCGCTCGGTATGTTGGCATGTTTTTCGAAAACATTGATTTCATTTCTCTTGCGGCTATCGTCCCGGCCTTTCATCCCTCCCCCCCCCCCCCCCACACCTCCTCGATGGAACCACCAGCGACGCCAGCAGCCATCTGTATATCACAGGTTATATTTTCCTGTTTGCGTGTTTACAGAGGGCAAATTAGACTAAAACCAGTACCTATTAGTTTTTCCAGTGGGCAACCACATGGAACTGAAAAGCGCACAGGACGATGTGTATTGATTGGAGCCTTCCATTCGCACGCTTTCCAGCTGATTCATAGCACGCATCGCTGGAAGACCGCATCACTTCCCTCTTGTGAAATGTCAACGGGACCATGGCCATGGCCATGGCTGCCGGCCGGCCCTGGCGGCGGCCCCGGCGCGCGCGCCACGCTGGCCGCCGTGTCACGTTCGACGTGGCGTGATCCGGCCGGCGCCGGCGGCTGGGAGGCGCGCGCGTCGGCTGTGACGCGTGCCCACCCAGTGCCCGAGTCACGTGGCCGCCATGTGACCGCGCAGCTCCGGCCGTCGGCAGCGGCGTCTGTTCACAGTGCCGACGACGCGGGGCCACGCTAACGAGCGGCGCCACGGCCGCCGAGGAGCGGCCGGGTCGCGTGCGGACGCCGTCCGACGCGTGCGTCGACAGATTTGGCGCGCGCTCGGCGTGGAGCACGTGGACGTCCATGCGGTGAAGCTCCTGCTTTGACGCGCTGTTCGGTCCGCACACCGCGGCCTGGCCGATGCGGCACTGGCGCGTTTTGATCCACGGTGTATTCGCCCGAGACAAGTAACCCATGAGTTCTGTACCGTTTAGGGTTCGCACCGACCCGGGCGACAAAAATTGTACGTGACGATGAGTAGAATCTCTACTGGACGCGCAGAATCTTTTCCACAACTCGACTGGAGTGGGGCAGGAACGGCGCAACAGGTTCAGTTGCAATGAGGTCAATTTACAGATAAATAGGTTATAATAGCTTACTTTGCGGCCCAGGACCGACCAGGAATAGTGAAAATGTGTTTTATACGCTGCAATGATCATAAATTGCACTATCCATTTTTAAGCCTGCTCATCGAACCTGCAAACAAAAAACTTTGTCCTTGCATGTGCAGGTACTGTCACGAAAATTCCAACGATGTAAAAAACGAACAACGCTGCTAATGCGCATGGGAAAAATTATACGTGGCGTCACGTAAAATAAGATATTCTTGCTGCGCCGTGAATACATCCTCAGTGACTGGCGGAAGGGGGACGTGATCCTGACGTGGGTGTGGCGGAAGTCGGTCGCGACGTCATACAGCACTTCTTGACGGGGAATTGCAATTAAACAAACCTCAAATCACACACTTATAAGAACATGCTCAGTTCCGGCACATAGTCATCTAAAAAAATTATCGTGTTATAGCTAAAAATTAGGACAGCCAATTTACATTTTCAGTTATGACGTTTAGTATCAATGTAAATAGCCCTAAGAGGCCCATCTGATCGTTATGTCTCCCTTCCCCCTCCCCACCTTCCCCTTCCCCTATTGGACCGGCACTGAATGCACTCAACAATAATGGAGGTTGCACTGACAAAGAAACTCTTAAGCATCAACACTTCCGAAATCCTGTGATAGTCAAGTTGCCAGCATGTTGACCCAGCAATACGAATTACCGCACACTTTTTCACGGAAGTATGTTCTATGTAATAACGAAAGCTATACTAGCTTGGTTGCCGTGTAGCCTTCAGCATTTCTCGGAATTCAACATGGCAGCCGCCGCCATCTTGAATGCTTACCAACTTTCTTATTTTGATCCGGATGACCTAGATGGTCGTGTAATATCTCTTAATAGGGGTTGTCGTGGGTGGTGAGTCCATTTCTGGACTTTTCTGGGCCACGATGTCTAATTCAACGGCAAATCACAGGTCGAGTATCAAACTCAGAGCAGACCTCTGACCTACAGTGTCACGAAATCTTAAGTGGCATTGAGCGTTTTACTACCAGCCAGCATGCTTTTCATAGTTATCATCATTATGTACACCTAGCCCCCTTCGTTTTCTGCGATGTCCATCTGTTTGCTGGTGCAACGACTATAGCGGGCGATTTCTCCGTAACAATTGCAGTAGTCTGTGCGCCAAAGGCCTGTGCTGTGCCTGTTGCAGCTGCAGCGTGCAGTGCTGTATGCGTTGCTTTCAGTGATGCGGTTGAAGGTCATAACACCCGAGAGCGTTTTGGGAGTAACTGCTGCTGTCAAGACGGCTGGCGTGGTGGGGGCTCCCATGCTCCAACCGAAGCTGGAAATATCTCTACTTTCTCGTCTTCGGGGGGGGGGGGGGGAGGGGGGCACGGAAAGCTTCTTCGCGGGGTTAGGAATGTGGTGGGCCAGTCGAGTCTCTTAACTTTCAGCCAGGCCTTTTGCGGCCCCAGGAACTGGCCAGACGACGCGGTACAGCAGCTGACAGAGACCATCCACCATCTGATCTGCTGGCAACGCGGTCTCGCTATCCGAGTGGCACCAGGCGTACAAGCTGCCAGTAGCTCATCCCTGGCATGCTGGGAAAAGTGCTTCGTCTGTCTCATATGTCAGCTCAAATAACGAGCATAATTGTGGTGAACCGCTACGAAGAAATACGGCAACATTGCCTTGACACATTGCTATCCTAGTTTTTTTTTCGCTGTGCTCTTTCCAAACTATTTATATGTTTTTGGAAGCATGGGGACCGAGCCTGTACACACTAACATGGATGTGGTCTGACATAGGCTTAGTAAAACTTTTGACAATCATCCTACTCTTGCAATGGAAATTCCTGTTAATAAGTTCCAGTATCCGAAATGTCTTGCTCCTTGAAGCCACACATTGCTTTTCAGCCTTTAAATCCCTCGAAATCATAACCCTCAAGTCTTTTCCTTTCTTGATCTGGCGAACTCCCGGCCTCCCATTTTGTAGCTAATGCCCTCACTGCCAGAACTACCCAAATGCATCACCTCACGTTGATCATAGTTGAATGACACATGCCACAGAGAAACCAAGTTCATTAGCATCTCCAAGTCAAGTTTCAGTCGTTTTAGGCTTTACCTAGTCGGCATTTTTCGACGCCCCTATCAAATTAATATCGTCAGCAAATTTAAGCACCTTGCTTTCTAATCCCTTCGAAATATTATTCAGAAAGATTACAAAGAACAACGGACCCAACACCAACCCCTGTGAAACCCAGCTCTATGCTAGGTCACACTGAAATTTAATACCATTGAACACTACTTTTATTTCCTGTCTTGCAGCCCAGCTCTTACCCAGTCAAGAATGTTTTCCCCAAAGCCACGCAATTTTTAACTGATACGCTGGTATGCTACCCTATCAAAGACCTCACC